GTTAAAGATGACTAGGTGAACATAGGGAAAAATGTCCAAGGAACTCAGTTATACCGCAGTTTTCTTCTTTAAAGTCTAAAGTCCTACAAGGATATGAACCAGCTTATCAGTTTCATAGAAAGCAACTGGGAGAAGATACCTATATTAGATTATTGGTTTTCTACAATTAATTTTGTTTAGGTCCAACAACCATTATGTATTGGCCATTCATTACTAAATAGATATAGCTTTATTACATATAATACCTCTTTTATTGAAATTATTATTATCATTATTATAACTGAACCAAAACAGTGATAATGTATTTCTTTCTTCTTCACAGGGTTATTCCCATTGTGTTGATGTTTATATAAAGCAGTGCCAGGAGGTAACATAACAGTACACTTTATCCACAACAGTATATTTTAATTCACCTTATTCTAATTTGTGTTTTAAAAGCCATTTAAAATTATATATTCACTATGTAAAATGCCTCTGTTGTTTAGGGTACTTACTTGAGAAATGATATATTTGAAGATGCAGCAATACTCTGTCAACGGGTGAACAAGCAAGTTGGAGATATCTTTAGTAATCCAGAAACAGTACTGGCTAAACTTATTCAAAATGTATTTGAAATTAAACTACAGGTAATTTTGAATAATGGCTAAGTAGTTGTTAAGGCAATATATGAAATTTTTCTTCTGTGTTTCAGGTTTTTTAACATTTAGCTTACTTAGGGAATGCACTTAGGAATAGAAATCCACTTTTTCAGTAAAGGGGAAAGAAATGACAATGTCATGTTTTAAAAAAAATGTTATATTGTCCACCAAGAATAAAGGTGCTAATCACAAAGGCTATCAGAGCTTGTGTTTGAAATTTGTGTAGCAATAGTAGTAACAGGGTGTAGAAGGGTATAGCCTCAATTTTTATTTTTATTGGGTCTTCAACTTGACCAATGTATGGCATTTGTGAAAATGAACAAGAATTACAAGTGCAGTCTGTAGAATTTCTTATAATATGATACTAATATGAAAAGAAAAACATAAGAATTTAATTTCCAACCTTGATTCCCGTAGCACTATACTCAAGGCAGTGTTTCCTAAACCATGTCTACCACTGGATTAAGCAGCATTAAATAAATGTTTGTTTTTAAAATACAATTCAGGACTTTTAATAGCCTTTAAAGGTACTAATATATACTGTGATTCCCTAGAACTGTAAGTGTAAAGTATAGCATTTCCCAATTTTAGAGTAATACCTGTCAATGTCTCAAGGAACACTAGTATTACCCAGACCACAGTTTGGGAAATTTTGCTGTTAGGAATTGATTATATTGGTAAAGCCTCAGGTTTTGTATTTTGGGGGGGTTTTGTTTTGATTTTTAAATGTACTTCATGAGGCAGGATAGGCCACTTTAAAAAGAAAAGGCATCTTGGAATTCTTAATACTTATTCTCAAGCTTGATATTGATGTACAAGTAAATATGAAAAGCAGTAAAAATCAAGAACCTATTTTCTTTTTTTTTTGGTCTATTTTCTGTGCATTGCCTTTAACATTGGATTTTAAGTCACAACAATTTAACAATATGGAATAATTTTAGAGGAGAAAAAAGTATCTTGACTATATAATTTGATATTTACTTAACTGACAGACTATTGACTTTTTTTTTTAGACTTTTGTGAAAGACCAGTTAGAAGAATGTAGGAAGTCTGATGCAGAGCAGTATCTCAAAAATCTCTATGATTTATATACAAGGTATATTTTTAATTATTAGAAAATAATAACAGATCTCAGATTTTCTGTTTTTTAAATAGAAATTGGGGAACTATTCAGCTATTTTTGAATAATAGTTTGTCAGGTAATATTAACGTTTTAGCTTTAAATGATTAGCTGTATGGACTAGTACAAAAGCAACATTCTTAGTATGTTAACTTAAGAAAGTGGATGTTATGCTTTATGTTAGTATTCTCTAATGAAAGAAAATCCTTGTGTACCTGGTTTAAACTAAGACTTGAGAATTTTGTTTCTGATTTCAATTATAAGCTAGGTCACTATTTAATTTTTTTCTCTTAAGAACTATTGTATTTGCAGTTAAAACTTTAGAAATTGAGAGAGGAAGTGAAAAATTCTTAAATGACAACTTTAGCCTCAAGTCTGATGTGTGTCTTGTGTTTTTGTCAATGACAGTGTTACATTTAGAAGTATTATATCAGAAGCTTTATATGAAGTTTTTTTCCATCCTTATTTCTAATGTGCAGTGTCTCATTTTGGGAGGAGAGTTTTCAAAAGTAAACGTAATCAGGAAGTCCAACCCAACAGCAACATTGTTGTGTACCTATCTTCAACAATAGGAAACAGAAAATTAGAGGAAAGTTCGCATGAATAAAGACAAAGATAATGAACAGAGACTAGACCTCTCTTTTCTGACTTGAGTATAGTGTCATGAATGCCATTAGAGCATATCTGAAACCATTCTGCTACTTGTCATTTCTAGACTGGTTGGTTGCCTCAGCTTCCTCTCCTAAGTCATCCCTAGGAGTTTATGGCAATTTTTAAACCATACAGTTGTTTATAATAACCATTACTTTATATGTTAACTCTATACAGCTGCTGTCTACCTTCCCAAGGTTTAAGAAATGTTGGTTTACCAAAGTTATTAAAGTCATATTGTAAAGTCACATAGTATTGTTACTAGACCTAAAATATACTTAATCTTTTTTCCCCCCCTTTCCATGAAAAGAACCTCAAATCTTTCCAGCAAGTTGATGGAGTTTAACTTAGGTACTGATAAACAGACTTTCTTGTCTAAGCTTATCAAATCCATTTTCATTTCCTATTTGGAGAACTATATTGAGGTGGAAACTGGATATTTGAAAAGCAGAAGTGCTATGATCTTACAGCGCTATTATGATTCAAAAAACCATCAAAAGAGATCCATTGGCACTGGAGGGTGAGTGTTTTTGTTAAATCTTAGAATTAAAGCTCTTAAGAACTTTATTATATTTGGACAATCTTATCAAATATTGACAGTCATTAGAATTTTCTATGAAGAACTCTTTTAACCCAGATTGTTTACAATTGGTCAAATCCTCTCTCTTGAACCACATTCTGAAATGACCTAACATAATGTGATTAAAATGTAAAGCAGAATACCAGTACTACCAAGAGTTCTGTAGTTCATTGTTTTGTTTTATTTTGTTTTTTTTAGACTGAGCAAATTTTTTCAGGTTATTACCGAGGAAGCATATCATTTTTTTATTGTTGCAGGTGTGAAAATAACCCAGCAAATACACAGTTTACAGTTGAGGTACCCTGGCCTTTTTAATGACTTGGGTGTAGATTTATTTAATTAATACCTTAAAACCTGCAGTTATTCATGTGCTGGAAGAAAATCATTTGCTATAAGAATTGGTGGCACCTTAGTTACCCAGATCTCAACTGTCTGGAACCCAGTTGATTATAGGACAAAGCAGAATGACTTCTGTGGAGCCATGTAATTATTGTCCACCCAAGTCAGTTTCTTGCTTCCTAGTTTGTCGTATATGAAATAATGATTAAAGGTAGAATAAGAGGTGACGGTGACGTCTGAAAGGCAATAGCAAGGAAAAGAAGTGAAAAACTAGAGAGCAATCATAAAAAAAATTAGTTCATAGTATTCTGGAGCTATATATTCTAGGAACAAAAAAAAAAAATCTAACCTTCTAGAAGATACCACCATGTAAATGTTTAGAGTGATCATTAGTCATTAAGAAATGCTAAATTATGTTTAATATATCTTGTTTAATGATAATAAAAATATTTAAAATGGTTAAATGTTTTTTAAAGCATTACATTTTTAAATTTTATTTCAAGCAGGACCATAGTTAACTGAAATATTAACTTATTTGGAATTCCCCACTTCCTAAGGAAAACAAACAAGGAGTTTTGACCATTGACTCAGAATTACAGAGCTGAAAGAGCCTTTTTAAAGATCATATCTTTAATAAATGTACTCTTTTGCAGATGAAAATCTTTTGTTTAGCTTGTTTCAGTTTACACAGAACTAATTATTAGAATTAGAGTTAGAATTTAGGTCTGTTGGCTATTGCTCCATTTTTCTTTATTCATGTATACCAAATTTGAGAATATTTAAAATTGAAATCTACGTGTAATAAAATGTCCTTTTTTCATTTGTCAATATGATACATTAGTATTCAAGATTTGAAAGAGAGAATTAGACAACGTACCAACTTACCTCTTGGGCCAAGTATCGATACTCATGGGGAAACTTTCCTGTCCCAAGAAGTGGTGGTTAATCTTCTACAAGAAACCAAACAAGCCTTTGAAAGATGTCATAGGGTAAGAATAATTGTAAATTTACTTATATATAGTTGTGTATTTTAAATTTTGCCTTGTTTATACCAACATAAACATCTGGTTAGGGACAGCCATTTTTTGTAATAAAGTGAAAAAAAAAGACAGGGTTTTTATTTTGGAGAACAGAATTATTTTTAAATTATATTGAAATATATTTCAATATAATTTTAAAGCTGAGCCTCTCAAATGTTTTCTTCTGTTAAGATATTAAATCAAAATATGAAAGGAAGAGTTAGATCTGGCTCATAAAAAGAGCAATAGGGAAAGATATTTTAAGAACACATAGATCAAGGGAAAGGAAGGAAAAGCTGACTTCATTAAAATTTGGAATTTCTGTCCCACGAGTACACTTTAACAAAGTAAACAGGTAAGTCATGGCTTGTAAGAAGGTCTTTGTAACATATTACTAGGAGATTATATAAAACAAAAAAATAGTCACTAATAATTGTATAGCACATACTGTATTCCAGGCACTATTCTAAGCTCTTTACGTATATATTTACTTATTTAATCATCATAACAATCCTGTGAGGTTATCCCTATTCTACAGATGAAGAAACTAAAATACATACTTACTAAGTAGTAAGATTGAAAGTTGAGGTGGTCTTAATTTTTTTTGTATTGATATATATGCTATATATATTTATATTGATGGATAATAAATCAATATAAACTATTCATACAAATATAAATCAGTAGAAGACAAAGGCTACAAATAAACAATTATAGGAATGTAAATTACCAAAAGATAATCTCACTAATAAAGAAATGAAACTTGAGCAGGGAAGATACTGTCTGATTAGGTTGGCAAAAATTAAGTCTGACTGTAAAAGTGTTGATAAGGATGTGGAGCAATAGAAATTCTTACACGGCTAGATGAAGTAAAAATTGGTATACTTACTATGGGGAGTAATTTGGGAATTTCTTAGAGAAACTGTGTAGGTGCTTGTGACCTAACATAGCAGCATTGTTTATCATGGTGAAAATTCAGAAGCAAACTAATATGCCTCAGAAAGAGAGTTGATAAACAAACTAACATTGTTCATGCATTAGAAAACTATATAACAATATAAATGTCTAAGCTAAAGTTACATGAATCTCAAAAATACAATGTTGAGTGAAAAGAGCAAGATAGGGAAAACATATATTGAGTGTAGTACCAATGAAGTTTTCAAAAGTAAAATAATACTTGATATTATTAGGGATATGCACAAGCAGGAGCATGATAAACAAATTCAGAGTAGTGTCTGCCTTGAGGGAGGAGTATCCAGCAGACTTTACCCACATTTATGATGTTGGATTCCACTCTCTGAAAAGAAAAAATCTGAAGTACATTTGGAAAAATGTTAAGATCTGAAACATATGGGTGGGAGATGGGTATATTTGGTACATTAATAACTCTTCTCCAAATGCTGGAAATATGTTAAAATATTTCTAAAGCTTCATCATTAACAGGAAGCTGTCAATGTTATGTTTATTGTTCAAATGATAGCAACTATCTCTAAATCATGACCTCCTTCTGGAAAGTCACAAGATTGAAATTCAGTTCAGTACAGTCTGATCCCCAAAACATTGTGTGTTTACTTTGTACCAGCTGCCATATTAGGCATGGAGGATATGAATATAAGACCTATGCATTACTTTTTAATAGTGTAGAGAAAGGGGGTAGACACAAAGAATTAGTACAAGATAGGTATACACTGCTTGAACCAAAGAAGAAGCAACCAGCTCTGCTGGGTTAAGGAATTGAGGAAGAGTATTTATCTTAATAGGAAGACCTGTTATCTTAACAGAGGCCTGGGTCTTGAAAGCTAAATAGGATATCTTAAAGATCATTTGGGCAGGCTGTTTCAGGCAGAGATAGTACATATTACAAAGACATATACCAAGATCAAACATGGGCATAAGGTGCTTGAAATAAAAATCTACATGGTCAAAATAGTAAGAGAGGGGGTTGAAATGGTAGACAAAAACTCTTTGTATAACATGTTCAGAAATTTGGACTTGACCTTGAAGGTCATGATGGAAGCTTTAAAGGATATTAAAAAGGGCAATGCAATGAGCAAATTGGTTATATTTTCTTTCTCTTTTAAAAAATAGCCTTGAGTTATTGATATTCAGTAAACTCCCTCAACTTCTATCCTCAGGCAACCACTAACCTGCTTTATGTCACTGTAGATTAGTTTTTGAAAAGAAGGGGTCATGCAAGGACTGAGTCTTGAAACTTACATGGGATGTTTTCAAGAAGTGATTTATTTTCTAGAATTTTTTATTAATGGGATTGTAGTATATTTTTTTATGTACATGTGTTTCTGGCTTCTTTCAGCATAATTATTTGCATTGCATCCATGTCATTGTGTGTATTTATTAGTATGTTTCTTTTTATTGCTGACTAGCATTTCATTGCATGAATGTACAATTTGTTTATCCACTTAACTGTTGATGGAGGTTTAGATTGGTTCCAGTGTTTGACTATTAGGAATGAATTTGCTATGAACACTCATGTATACATATAGTTTCATTTCTATTAAGTATATACTTAGTAGCAGTATGACCAAGTCATATGGTACTTCTTTTTAAGAAAGTGTGAAACTATTTTCTTGAGTTGTTGTTTCATTCCCACCAGCAGTGTGTGTGAGTTCCATTTGCTCCACATGATTTCCAATATTTGGTATGATCAATCTTTAATTTTAGACAACCTAATAGGGTGTGTAATGATACTTCTACTACACACCCTATTATTATCGTTTTAGTTTGCATTTTCCTAATGACTGATGATGTTAAGCATCTTTTCATGTGTTTATTTCCCATTTATATATACTCTGTGTATTTTTTGTGCATTTTTAAAAATTGGGTTGTCTTTTTTGATAGTTCTGTATTCCAGTGGTAGTTCATTTATCAGATACATGATTTGCAAATGTTTTCTTTTAATATGTGGCTTGTCTTTTTAAACTTTTAATCGTATTCCAAAGACTAGGAATTAGTAATTTTGGTGAAATCCAACTTAACACTTCTCTGATAGGGATATTTTTGATATCATATATAAGAAATCTTTGTCTAACTCAAGGTCAAAGATTTCCTCTTATGTGTTCTTCTAGCAGTCTTATAGTCTAAGGTTTTACCCTTAGGTCCATAATAAGTTTTGAGTTAATTTATGGATAGCATGTGATGCATGGATCAAAGTTCATTTTTTTGCTTTTAGGTTTCCAGTTGTTTCAGCATTATTTACTGAAGTCTATCATTTTCTCCACTAAATTTCTTGAGAACCTTTGTTTAAAATCACTTAACTGTTTATTAGATCTGTTTCTGTACCCTGTTCTCTTCCATTGACCTATTTGTCTTTTTTTATGCTAAATACTACATTAATCACTGTAACTGTAAGTTTTGAAAGAGGTGGTGTAGGGCCTCTGACAGTTCCATATAAATCATTTTATGTCTTTATAAGTCTTAAAATCATTTTGTCAGTCTTGGGAAAAAAGTTGGGTATTTTCATTGGGATTGCATTGTATCTGTGCTTCTGTTTGTAGAGAATTGACATCTTAATATTGAGTTTTCAGTCTCTGAATATACTATATCTCTACTTATTTAGATCTTCTTTAATTTTTCTCAGCATGTCTTATAATTTTTATTACACTGGTTTATCTGAGTATTTAATATTTTTGTGCTATTTTAATGTAAATGTTATTTTTAATACATATTTTTGATATTTTGTTATTAGTATATGAAATATAGTTGATTTTTATGTTGATTTTGTATTTACAACCTAACAACTCTGTTCTAGTTCTAGCAGCTATTTTGTAATTTCACGGGATTTTCTGTATAGGCTATTGTGTTGTCTTCCAATAAAATACGTTTTACTTATTTCTTTCTGATATAGATGCCTGTTACTTTGTTCTCATGCCATAGTACACGACTCAGGCTCTAATACAATGTTGAATAGTACTGGTGAGAGCAAATGCCTTGTATTATTCTTCTTTTAATATATTTTCATTGAAGTGTACTTGATATACAGTATTATATTCGTTTCAAGTATACAGTATAATGATTCAATAGTTATCTACATTATTAAATCCTTACCCCAACTAGTGTAGTTACTATTTGTAAACATAGAAAGATATTACAGAATTGACTTTATTCTCTATGCTGTACTTTCATCCACTTGACTAATTTATATTATGACTGAGATTTTGTGTCTCTTTATCCCCTTCTCCTATTTCATCCCTTATCTCAGCCCCTTCCCCATGGTAACCACTAGTTACTTCTCACTGTCTGTGAGTCTATTGATGTTTGTTTTGTTTTGTTTTTAGATTCCACAAATAAGTGAAATCATATGATTGTCTTTCTCTGCCTGGATTATTTCATTTAGCATACTACCCACTAGGTCAATCCATGTTGTCCCAAATGGTAGGAGTTCTTTTTTATGGCTGAATAATATTCCAGTATCTGTATGTACCATATCATCTTTATTCATTTATATATTGATGGACATTTTGGTTGCTTCCTTGGCTATTGTAAATAATGTGGCAATAAACAGGAATTCATGTATTTTTTTTGAATCAGAGATTTTTGTTTCCCTAGAAGTGGAGTTACTGGGTTGTATGGTATTTCTATTTTTAGTGTTTTGAGGAACCTCTGTACTGCTTTCCATAGTGGCTACACCAATTTACATTCCAACCAACAGTGTAGGAGAGTTCCCTTTTCTCCACATCCTCACCAACACTTGTTATTTCTTGTCTTTTGGATAGTGGCCATTCTGCCTGGTGTGAGTTGATGTTGCATTGTGGTTTTGATTTGCATTTTCCTGATAATTAATGATCTGGAGCAACTTTTCACGTGCCTGTTGGCTATCTGCATATCCTCTTTGGAAAAACGTCTTTTCAAGTCCTCTGCATTTTTTTAATTGGGTCGTTTTTTGGTGTTGGCTCATATGAGTTCTTTTTATGTTTTGGATGTTAACCTCTTATTGGATATGTCATTTATGAATATATCCTCCTATACTGTGGGTTGCATTTTTGTTTTGTTGATGGTTACCTTTGCTGTACAGAAGGTTTTTGGGTTGATATAGTTACACTTGTCTATTTTTACTTTTGTTTACTTTACCTGGGGAGACATGTCCAGAAAAGAAAAAAATCATTACCTGCTTACATTCAAGAGATTTTTGCCTGTGTTTTCTTCTAAGATTTTTATGGTTGCATGTCTTATATTTTGGTCTTTAATCTGTTTTGTGTTTACTTTTGCATATGGTGTTAGAGACTAAATAAGTTTCATTCTCTTGCATGTAACTGTCCAGTTTTCCCAACACCATTTACAGAAGAGACTGTTTTTTTCCCATTGTGTATTCTTGCTTCCTTTGTCATATATTAACCAACCGTGTATGTGTGAGTTTATTTCTGGTCTCTATTCTGTTCCATTCATCTATGGATCTATTCTTATGTTACTACCATACTGTTTTTAATTACTGTTGCTTTGTAGTATAGCTTGAAGTTGGGGAGTGTGGTACCCCTATCTTTGTTGTTCTTTCTCAAGATTGCTTTGGCTCTTCAGGGTCTTTTGTGGTTCTATAAATTTTAGACCAATTTTCTCTAGTTCATTGGAAAGTTCCATTGGTGTTTTGATAGGATTACACTGAATCTGTAAATTGCTTTGGGGGAGGATGGCCATTTTGACAACATTAATTCTTCCTATCCATAAGCATGAAATAGATTTCCATTTATTTGTGTCTTCAATTTCTTTCATCAGTGTCTTAGAGTTTTGAGAACACAGGTCTTTTTTCCCCTCAGTTACATTTATTGCTAGGTATTTTATTCTTTTTGGTCACCTTACATAGAATTCTTAATCTTAAGAATAATGCATTAAATCTTTCACTTTTAAGTATGGTGCTAATTGTAGGTTTTTCATAGGTAATTTATCAGATTGAGGAAATTATTTTAGTTCTAGTTTTCTGAATGTTTTTGTAATGATTGAATCTTGGATTTTGTCAAATCCTTTCTTGCTATTCTGTTATTGTGGTGTATTACATTGAATTTCCCTGTGTTAACCTTGTATTCCTTTGATAAACCCCACTTTATCAATGTGTATTATCCTATTTATATACTCTGTTGGATTAGATTTACCAAACTTTTGTTAAGAACTTTTGTGTTGGTGTTCATGAGGGATATTAACTTGTACATATTTTTTCTCTTGTCTTTGTCTATTTTAGGGATCAGGGTAATGTTGGCCTCATAGATTAGTTGGAAAATATCCCTTTCTCTTCAATTTTCTGGAAGAATTTGTGTAAAATTTGTTTCGTTTCTTTCTTAAATGTAGGTAGAATTCACTAGTGAAGTCATTTGGACCTGCAGTATTCTTTGAGAGGGTTTATAACTACAAATTCAACTTCTTTAATAGATATACGACTGTTGAGATTATTAAGTGTACTACTTAAGTGAACTTTGATAGTTTGGTAGGATATTTTTGTATTTTTTAAGGATTTATATATTTCATATATATATTGGGATTAAGCTGTTGATGATACTGCCTTATTACCCTTGTAATATCTCTGGAATATGTAAAATCACTCATTATATCAATAGTTTATGTTCTTTTTTCCTGATCAGTCTGGCCAGAGGTTTATCAGTTTTATTGATTTTCCCAAAGAATTAGCTTTTGGTATTATTGATTTTTCTCTGTCTTTCTGTTCTGCATTTCATTGATTCCACTCTTCATTACTTTTCTTCTGCTTATTTGGGTTTTGTTTGTTCCTCTTTAGTTTTTTAAGGTATAGGCTGAAGTAAGGTGTTCCTTCTTTTGTAATACAAGCATTTGTTATATAAATTTCCCTCAGAGGTACTGGTTTAGCTGCATACCACAAATTTTGATATGTGTTTATTTTTGTTCAGTTCAAAATAACTTAAATTTCCTGATTTCTTTTGGCCCAAGAGTAACTTATGTTACTTAGTTTCTAAACATGGGGGGACATTTTAGATATCTTTCCGCTACTGATTCAAATCTGATTCTGTTTTAGAGGACAAACTTTGTAGGATGTGAGTCCATTTTATATTTACTGAGACTTGTTTTTTAGTCCAGAAAATGATCCATCTTGGTAAATGGTTTGTGAATACTTAAAAAGACTATATCCTGATGTGTTGGCTGGAGCATTCTGTAAATGTCAGTTAGATCCTGTTAATTGACAGCATTGTTTATGCCTTTTGTATCCTTACCTTTTTTTGGCTACCACTTCTATTGATTATGCGTGGATATATGGATGTAAATAAGAGGAGGGTGAAAAGTTAAATTCATTCTTTATGGCTTCTTAAGGGCGTATGTTGAACATCAGTGAGCAAAGAAGGATGGTAGAGAAACTGATGAAGAATAAAGGTTTAGGATCATATTAAGAAGACCAGGAAGGGAACTGAGTATATTAAATCAGTATTTATAATCAGTGGAGATTAGGGGACTTAAACTGTGTTATACACTTCAACTTCCAGTAGTATGTATCAGATATTAAGCATTACTCTGAGAGAGTACATGAATGAAGACTACCATAAGCAACAATCAATTGATAAATAATGTAGGAAGCAGTTATGAGAAGTTCTGAGGTAATGTTCTAACTTTTTAAGAGGGATTTCATTTTCTCAGCATACCTACTAATAACCGCTTTAATGAGTAGTTAACCATCACCAGTGGCATCAACGTGAAAATAAACAATTATTGTGAGCTTACTTTTTGCCATACATAGTGCTAAAAATACTTTACATGAATTTTCATATTTTATTCTCACCTGAAGATTAGGTGAGATACGAATCATACTATTCCCACCTTTCAGGTGAATAAATTGAGTCTGGATAGGGTTAAATAACATCTCAGGGGTTCGCTCAACCAGGAAATAATGAACTGGCATTTGAGCCTCTCATACTTTATGGTGCACCTGTTGTTGGTGTCCCCATCCCCATGCCCTGGTAAAATAAAGAATCATTTTTGTTCTGAGTTTTGCCAGAATAGCCTTTGTTTTCAGTGGTTCTCAGACTTCTTTGACTATGACTCACAATTAGAAATTCGTTTTACGTGGCAGGTCAGTGTACATTTGTTGTGTGTGTTCATGTATTTCATGAAACATTAATTTAATCTAAGCCCAGAAAGGTTGTAGACAAATATGCACCATTGGAACTCTGTGTGTATTGGTGAGAGAGGTCTTGGGGCTGGACAGGAAGAGGCGTAAGCTATTATTTAGATATCCGAATACTGACTATATCTTATAAAATTGATTGCTAAAAATAAATGTTGCTGTTTTTTTAAACATAGATTTGAGTAGTGATATATTTGGTTTTTGTTTTTACAGCTCTCTGATCCTTCTGATTTACCAAGGAATGCCTTTAGAATTTTTACCATTCTGGTGGAATTTTTATGTATTGAGCATATCGATTATGCTTTGGAAACAGGACTTGCTGGTAAGTATACTTATTTGTGTTATACTTTATGTTCAATTCCTTTGTTCTTGGTTAGTTAAACTATATGCAGAGTGTTGTTTTATATGTTTTTAACTCTGTATGTAGACTTCAGTGCAAGAAATAATGCTTTTTGAGCTTCTTTAATGCAAAGATTTGTCAGGTGCAGAAAGCTATACAGAAACACAGTTCTCCCATGTTGCTTACATCAAGCAGAGCAGGGTAAGCTACTTAAATCACTGTAGTGTATGGTAGAATGTAGTACAATGCTATTAGTTATAAAATGTCAAGGGAACAGAAATGAGGGTGACAACAATTCTGGTTGAGGCAATTGAGTAATATAAGGTTTAGAAAGGAAAGACCTGTAAAGAAATAGATTCATATTAAAATATTTCTTTCCTTTTGGTCTTTTGGGTTTGCTGGTATTAATAGGATGATAATGATTTCTTCCCTAAATTCTAATCCCATTAATCCAGTTGCCTCCTTGACTTCTCTACCTGTACAGTATGCATCTCAAATTTCACATATCCCAAATGAAACTACACCTGTTCTTCTCCCATTCTTCCCATGTCTTTAAAAGGCATTACTTTTTTTCTTTTTTAGTTTTTTATTAAGGTATGATTGATATACACTCTTATGAAGGTTTCACATGAAAAAACAATGTAGTTACTACATTTACCCTTATTATCAAGTCCCCACCCATACCCCAATGCAGTCACTGTCCATCAGTGCAGCAAGTTGCCAGAGATCCACTATGTCCCTTCTCTGTGACACACTGTTCTCTAAAAAGCCTTACTTTTTATGGGTTGCTCAAACCTCAAACCTAGGAGTTGCCATAATTCTTCTTTTCATCAACCTTTATAGCCCATCTATCAGTAAACATATTTCAGTTATGTTTCAGTATATGTCCAAACCTAACTCAAATCCATCAACTTTTCTCAGTCTGCTGCTGCCACCCAAATGAATTTAAATACCATTATCTTTTCCACTCCTAATTGGTCCCCCTGTGTACACTTGCTACTCCAAATTACTCCACATCACAATTGGTTTATCATTTCCTCATTTAAGACCATTTAGTGGCTTCATACTATCTTAGAGGGGGAAAACAGCAAAGCCTTTACAAATGCACTGCATTCGATCTGGCCTCCCCTTCTGTATTCATCCTTGTCTTATTTATCCATTTCCTCTCACTACCCTAGCCACTCTGGCCTTCAGTCCTTTTATCTCACTTTGCATTTGGCATTTCTTCTTCCAAAAATCTGTTTCCTTCACCTCTTCTCATGTCTGGCTCTTCAATCTCTGATCTCAACTAAGATGTCACCTTCTCAGTGAGGCCCTTGCTGATCACCCTATGTAATGTAGCCTTCCTCTCCCTGCCTAGCTACTCATTAATTCATCATTGAATTAACTTTTTTCATAGCACTTACCACAATCTAATTTTCATCTCTTTATGTCCACCTCCACTCAACAGAATTCATTCATTCAATACATACTTATTAAGGGCCTACTCCTAACAGTCAGGAAGCCTACATGTTTGTGGAAAAGACAGACGGATGACTAGGAAGTGCAATGAAGAAAAAACTGAGGAAGGGATAGAGAGTAGTAATGGCGGGGTGGATGGGGAACTCAAGGGCAGAGGGCTTTTTTAGAAAGGATGGTCAAACAAAGCATCCCTGAGGAGACATTATCAACCAGAGAGCTGAATGAAGTGGAGTACACAGTATTTGGAAAAAAGTATTTTAAATAGAGGGAACAGCATGTAAACTCTTACAGGTAGGAATCTGTCTTACCATGATAGTGTAGAATCTGGAAAGCACATAGCAGATGCTCAAAAAAATGTTTATTGATTGTACATGACATGCTGTAAAGTTATCAAAACTGGAACAAAATTATCTGTAATTCAGTAACCTTGTGGTTTATTCTTACCCATTTTTTTTACATAGTTGCTTTCATGATGTAAGATAAGCATTTGACTCTTGACAGCAAATATTTAACATTTGCCATTTGCAAATGACTTAATGTAATTTGTATTGGCATAATAATAACTAAAAATGTGGAGATTAAGAAGATAATGAAAAACAGTAAAATGAATTTGAATCCAAATGGTATGAAGGATTTGTTATTTAGATAGTATGGAAACCTAGCATCTTCATTTTAATTACAGTATTCACAATTTGGGAGGGCTTAGGACGTTTTCTGGTAGGATGAGAAAGTCCCATACGTATCTATTTTCAATGTAGCTATTTAGTTTCTAGTGATTGTATTTCTGTCATGCATACATATTACACAGTTAACCATCTCCTATTATTGAACATTTTGGATATTGCAAGCAATTTAGTAATATAAATAATGCTACAATGAATATTGTAGAGCTTTAAGTGTTTTCCTTATTTGGAATTATTTTCATGGGATAAAGTCCCAGAAGTGAGACAACCAGATCAAAGTGTGTTACAAATTTTTTAAGTTTCTATACTTATAAACTGTTTTCCTAAAGAAGTATTTCCTACTAATTTATGCTACTACTGGCATGTATGACTGTATCAGTTTTTCTGTACATCATTGAATATTCTTTAAAAACTTCAATAATTTAGTGATTAAAAACATACATAAATATTGCCTTATTTTTCATTAATGGCAAGGATTAGTATTTTATCCATTTGTATTGACTTTGTTTTTCTTTCTTATAAGTTTATATGGGGACTTTTTTTCTTACCAGTTGGTGATTCTGTCTTTTGTGAAAAAGTAAAACACCTTTGTTTTCCATTTTTAGAACTTTGAAAAAATCATCATCTTGTAAAGAGTTTATTTTCTCATTTGCTATGAATATTTTCCCTAATCCATTATGCCTTTTAATTTTAGCTAGAAACAAACATTGAGGGTTAGAAAGGAATTTAGTGTTTATTTCAACTCCTGAGAGGTCAGCTATCATTTTTGGGGTCAGCATGTGGTATCTTGAATACCATGCTGAAAATCAAGAATTTATTCTGTAGACAGTGAATACACATTTAAAAATATTTTTGATGAAATAGCAGAGAGCATGGTGAATGAAATGTGTAAGTTTTAAGTATATTACTATGGCAACAATACATAGCATAAAAGATAAAGAGGTTTGAACCACGAAACTAATAAAATTACTGTGTTATCACAGATAATGAGGCCTGGTTATAAGAAAAATGATGGAAGTGTATTCATGGCTCATGTGAATCATTAGATACTTGAGAGTGGAAAAAAGAGAAGATACAGTCCAAGATGATTCATTTATTGATTTTCTTTTTGATTTATTTCAGTAAATAATGAAGACTGAGTAGGTGGTGAAAATCTGGGCATAAAAACTTTGGATGAATTTTATTAAGTTATTAATGAGATAATTTTACTGATGTCCACAAAAATCATTGCTGAGTTATTAAAACAGTAGTTACTTTTACTCATATTGTATATATAAAATGACATTCTTTTTTCTGTTAGCAAGATGAATTTCTTCAAGTATGATTCTAATGCAAAATGTCTTGCAATTTTAGGAATTCCTTCTTCAGATTCTAGGAATGCAAATCTCTATTTTTTGGATGTTGTGCAACAAGCCAACACCATTTTTCATCTTTTTGACAAGCAATTTAATGATCACCTTATGCCACTAATAAGGTTAGTCAAATTGTCTGATTTTCTTTGGCATTTCAATGAATATTATGATATTTTACATATCTTCTTGTTACATTTTTCAAGTAATACATATTTGTGAAAACATCAAACAGTATTGGAGGGTGTGAAATTAAGAGTATAAGTCCTTTTCTTTCTTCCTGGCCCTGTTTTCTCTTCCTATTGTATTAATTTTGGTTTATTTTGAAAACACTGAATCTGACATAGACCTAAACCTGATGTGAAAGAAAACCTCTAGCTTGTACCCGCTTCTTATAATATAAAGACATACAACAAAAATTTTATGAAATTAGTAAGATAGATTTTTATAAGGCATTAAGTTAGGTTTGGTTTATATCTTCCTGTCACTTATGTGCGCTTTTAAAGCATGTAAAGATACAATAAGGTAGTATATATGTGAACATGGTTTATGAAATTACTATTTCATAATAATAAATACATATTATATATCATTATAAATACATATTTTACTATTGTAAATATAAAAGTACTACTGTTATTAGAGAGGAAAATAATCATAGAAAAGATAAAGCTCTAGACATTTTGTTTTGAACACTGATATGCCAAGAAATTGGTCCAGAAATAATCTCAAGGTACAAAGATCACTTATGATTTCTGAATGACACTTTGAAATTTACTTTTTAAAAAACAGTAATGCCACATAGCAGAGAATTTGCATAACTGTTCAGATTGCATATTCCTTAATATTTTGGATGTTTTGACATTCAGGTAGTATTTAAAAAGCAAATATGATTGTTAAATTTTTTTTTTAATGTAGGAAAGCTAAACTGGATGGCTGTTAGTCTCCAAATTTTAACTAGTATAATTTACTATATTCTTAAGACTCTGGTGATATCTTATGACTTTTCTTATGTTATACCAGATATTTAATTAAGAAGGAAACTGAATAATTCCAAAATTTCAAAATCTATGTTTATATTCTTAAGAGCTGTCTCCTCAAAGATAAAAGTGATCTTCCAATCTAAATCTACTTCTCTCTCTTTTTTTTTCAATTAAGGTATCGTTGATATATAATCTTGTGCTCAGGTTTCACATGAGCAACATAGTGGTTACTATATTCACCCATATTATCAAGTACCCCCCCCCCACAACCCATTGCAGTCACTGTCCGTCAGCATAGTAAGATGCTGTAGAGTCACTACTTATTTTCTCTGTGCTATACTGCCTTCCCCATGCCCCCCCATATTATGTGTGCCAATCATAATACCCCTTAATCCCCTTATCCTTCCCCAGCCCATTTCCCTTTGGTAACCACTAGTCTATTCTTGGGTTCTATGAGTCTGCTGCTGTTTCGTTCTTTCAGTTCTGCTTCGTTGTTATACTCCACAGATGAGTGAAATCATTTGGTACTTGTCTTTCTCTCCCTGGCTTATTTCACTGACCATAATACCCTCTAGATGTTGCAAATGGTAGGATTTGTTTCTTATGGATGAATAGTATTCTATTGTGTATATGTACCACATTTTCTTTATCCATTCATCCACTGGTGGACACTTAGGTTGCTTCCACGTCTTGGCTGTTGTAAATAGTGCTGTGATAAACATAGGGGTGTATATGTCTTTTTGAATCTATGACCCTGTTTTCTTTGGGTAAATTCCTAGGAGTGTAATTCCTGGGTCAAATAGTATTTCTGTTTTTAGTTTTTTGAGGAGCCTCAATATTACTTTCCACAATGGTTGAACTAATCCACCAACAGTGTAGGAAGGTTCCCCTTTCTCTACATCCTTGCCAGCATTTGTTGCTTGTCTTTTGGATGTTGGCCATCGTAACTAATATGAGGTGATATCTCATTGTGGTTTTAATTTGCATTTCTCTGATGATTAGGGATGTGCAGCATCTTTTCATGTGTCTGTTGGCCATCTGAATTTCTTCTTTGGAGAAGTGTCTGTTCAGATCTTCCGCCCATTTTTTTAATTGGGTTATTTGCTTTTTGGGTATTGAGGCACGTGAGCTCTTTATATATTTTGGATGTTAACCCCTTATCAGATATGTCATTTATGAATATATTTTCCCATACTGTAGGATGCCTTTTTGTTCTACTGATGGTGTCATTTGCTGTACAGAAGCTTTTTAGTTTGATGTAGTCCCAGTTGTTCATTTTTGCTTTTGTTTCCCTTGCCCAAGGAGATATGTTCATGAATAAGTTGCTCATGTTTATATTCAAGAGAGTTTTTCTCATGTTTTCTGCTATGAGTTTTATGGTTCATGACTTACATTCAGGTCTTTGATCCATTTCAAGTTTACTTTTGTGTATGAATTTAGACAGTGACCAATCCTGTTTCATTCTCTTACATAAAGCTGTTAAGTTTTGCCAACACCAGCTGTTGAAGAGGCTGTCATTTCCCCATTGTATGTCCATGGCTCCTTTATCATATATTAATTGGCCATATATGTGTGTGTTTATATCTAGGCTCTCTATTCCATTGATCTATGGCTCTGTTCTTGTGCCAGTACCAAATTGTCTTGATTACTGTGGCTTTGTAGTAGAGCTTGAAGTTGGGGACCATAATCCCCCCCACTGTATTCTTCCTTCTGAGGATTGTTTAAGCTATTGGGGGTCTTTTGTGGTTCCATATGAATTTTAGATATTTGTTCTAGTTCATTGAAGAATGCCCTTGGTATTTTGATAGGGATGGCAGTGAATCTGTACTTGGCTTTGGGCAAAGATGGCTCTTTTGACAATATTCATTCTTCCTGCCCATGAGGATGGGATATATTTCCATTTATTGGTGTCTTCTTTGATTTATTTTGAGTGTTTTGTAGTTTTCAGGGCATAGTAGGTCTTTCACTTCCTTGGTTAGGTTTATTCCTAGGTATTTTATTCTTTTTGATGCAATTGTGAATGGAATTGTTTTCCTGATTTCTCTTTCTGCTAGTTCATCATTAGTATATAGGAATGCAACAGATTTCTATGTATTAATTTTGTATCCTGCAACTTTGCTGAATTCAGATATTAGTTCTAGTAGTTTTGGAGTGGATTCTTTAGTGTTTTTTATGTACAATATCATGTCATTTGCAAACAGTGACAGTTTAACTTGTTCCTTGCCCATCTGGATGCCTTTTATTTCTTTGTGTTGTCTGATTGCTGTAGCTAGGACTTCCAGTATTATGTTGAATAAAAGTGGTGAGAGTGGGCATCCTTGTCTTGATTCCAATCTTAGAGGAAAAACTTTCAGCTTTTCACTGTTTGGTATGATAATTGGCTGTGGGTTTATTGTATATGGACTTTATTACATTGACGTGCTTGCCCTGTGTACCCATTTATTTTGTTGAGAGATGTTATCATAAATGGTTGTTGAATTTTGTCAAATGCTTTTGTCAAGTGGAGATGATCATGTGATTTTTGTCCTTTTTGTTGATGTAGTGGATGATGTTGATGGATTTTTCGAATACTGTACCGTCTTTGCATCCCTGGAATGAATCCCACTTGATCATGATGTATGATCCTTTGGATGTATTTTTGAATTTGATTTGCTAATATTTTGCTGAGTATTTTTGCATCTGTGTTCATCAGGGATATTGGTCTGTAATTTTCTTTTTTTGTGGTTTCTTTGCCTGGTTTTTGTATTAGAGTGATGCTGGCTTCATAGAATGAGTTTGGAAGTATTCCCTCCTCTTCTACTTTTTGGAAAACTTTAAAGAAGATGTGTATTAGGTCCTCTCTAAATGTCTGATAAAATTTAGCAGTGAAGCTGTGTGTTCTGGGCATTGTGTTCTGGGGTAGCTTTTTGATTACTGATTCAATTTCGTTGCTGGTAATTGGTCTGCTCAGATTTTCTGTTTCTTCCTGGGTCAGTCTTGGAAGGTTGTATTTTTCTAGGAAGTTTTCCATTTCTTCTAGATTATCTAATTTGCTAGCATATGATTTTTCATAGTATTCTCTAATGATTCTTTATATTTCAGTGGTGTGCATGGTGATTTTTTTCTTACTCATTTTTTATTCTGTTTATATGTGTAGACTCCCTTTTTCTCTTAATAAGGCTGGCTATGGATTTATCTATTTTGTTTATTTTCTCAAAGAACCAGCTCTGGGTTGCAATGATTTTTTCTATTGTTTTATTCTTCTCAATTTTATTTATTCTCTGATCTTTATTATGTCCCTCCTTCTGCTGACTTTGAGCCTCATTTATTCTTCTTTTTCCAGTTTCAATAATTGTAACTTTAGACTGTTCATTTGGGATGGTTCTTCCTTCTTTAAATAGGCCTGGATTGCTATATACTTTCCTCTTAGAACTGCCTTTGCTGCATCCCACAGAAGTTGGGGCATTGTGCTGTTGTTGTCATTTGTTTCCGTATATTGCTTGATCTCTGTTTTAATTTGGTCATTGATCCATTGATTACTTAGGAGCACGTTGTTAAGCCTCCATGTGTTTGTGGGCCTTTTTGTTTTCTTTGTACAATTTATTTCTAGTTTTATACCTTTGTGATCTGAGAAGTTGGTTGATAAAATTTAAATCTTTTTGAATTAATAGGGTCTTTTTGTGGCCAAGTATGTGATCTGCTCTGGAAAATATTCCATGTGCACTTGAGAAAAATGTATATCCTGTTTCTTTTGGGTGGAGTGTTCTGTAAAAGTCTGTTAGGTCCATCTGTTCTAATGTTTTGTTCAGTGCCTCTGTGTCCGTCCTTATTTTCTGTCTGGTTGATCTGTCCGTTGGAGTGAGTGGTGTGTTGAAATCTCCTAAAATGAATGCATTGCATTCTTTTTCCCTCTTTAATTCTGTTAGTATTTGTTACACATTTTTAGGTGTTTCTATATTAGGTGCATAGATATTTATAATGGTTATATCCTCTTGTTGGACTGACCCTTTTATCATTATGTAATGCCTTCTTTGTCTCTTGTTATTTTGTTTTGAAATCTATTTTGACTGATAGAAGTATTGCTACTTCTGCTTTTTTCTCCCTATTAATTGCGTGAAATATCTTTTTCCATCCCTTCACTTTTAGTCTATGTATGTCTTTGGGTTGATGTGAGTCTCTTATAGGCAGCATATAGATGTATCTTGCTTTTTTATCCATTCTGTAACTCTGTGTCTTTTTATTGGTGTATTCAGACCATCTACATTTCAGGTGATTATCGATAGATATGTACTTATTGCCATTGCAGGCTTTGGATTTGTGGTTACCAAAGTTTCAAGTGCAGCTTCTTTACTATCTAACAGTCTAATTTAACTGGCTTATTATGCTATTATAAACACAATCTGAAGATTTTTTTCCTTCTTTTTCTTCCTCCTCCACTCTTTATATGTTAGGTGTCATATTCTGTACCCTTTGTGTATCCCTTGACACACTTTGTGGTTAGCTGATTTAATTTTGCATTTGTTTAGTAATTAATTGGTCTACTTCCTTTACTGTAGTTTTATTTTCTTTGGTGGCAGCTATTTAGCCTTAGGCACACTTCCATCTAGAGCAGTCCCTGTAAAATACACTGTAGAGATGGGTTGTGGGAGGTAAATTCCCTCAACTTTTGCTCATCTGGGAATTGTTTAATCACTCCTTCAAATTAAA